TGTAACACAGTGACTGTCTCTGGAGGTGGTGGGAGTCATTGATGTTCTCCAAGCTCAGTGAGCACCAAGGACCCCTCATTGGAATCCTGAGCTACAATTATTCTCCTGTATCAATCTCTTGGGGGGTTTATTGCTTTGGGGAGATGAGGGAAAATGCAGTTTGTTCAAACGATAGTTGGTGTTGTTGAAAGGAAATTACATCTGCTGACTTCATTTTCCATTCACTTTTGGAATTAGATTATTAAGTGCTTTCTAGCTATTAGGAACTTCTGGATCCAAAGATTTTACAGCACTGGATGAGTTTCCTTCAATCCTTAGCAAGGGAAAGTTTTAACTACAAGTCTAAGAACTTAATAAAAGAATTCTGCAATGAATGGCAAAAAGGTGATTAAAACTTTGATTTAAAAAAAAATATAAATGGACTAAATATCCAGGTAAATATGAAATAAGATTTTGGAATTATATAAACAGAATCTTTCCCATGGGAATTTGCTTTCCTTCTGAATTTTTTTTTTAAAAGAACAGTAGAATAAGACTTTAAAAATTGGACACTAGAGGGAACTAAAGATTATAATTTAAAAAGACTGCTCAAACTCAATTTACAGTTACAGAATGAAGCAACAAAATTTAACATTGGACATATTGAACAGTGGACCCAGGAATTGATTTTAAAAGTGTCTGTTTTGATAGATGTACTATGTTCAAAAAATATTATGGAAGAGGAACAAGTTTTATCTGACAAATTTAAGACTGACTTGAAAGTAAATTTAAAAATGACAGGCTATATACACTGACATAGAAAAAGATTTGCTGTAAAATGGACATACAAAAGTAACTGGCTGCTATCTTAATAATTGAAAGAGATGCAAATAACAGAACAAGAGAATGGCCTGGCTAAAAAATATAGTATTATTCTTGGTAATCCTTTATGGATTTTGCTGACATCACGACTGAAATGTATATGCTTTATGGATTTATTTATAGATAAGAGATGAGATATGGGACGTATTTGTATTTTAAGAAAATGTGACAAGTTAAAAAAATATTTATGCTTGTTGCAATGAAGGGGAAGTTACTATTTCTTTTCTTTACTATATTTTTTCCTCTTTCTTTCTGTTCTGCACTTTCTATCTTGTTTTAATCTTTTAATTTGTCAGTTTGCATTAGTTTTTATTGCTGCAGTTGTAATTTTCAATAATATCACTATATTAATATGCCATCAAATTATGAAATTGTTAACCTAATTATTAGATTATTAATAAAATTAATAATTAATTGTTAAAGGGCAGGACAAGAAGTAAGGTGTGGAGCCTGATCATAGAGAAATCTTTTCTGGAACCGAGGAGAAATTTCCTGATAGCCAGAACAATTAATCAGTTGGACAGCTAGCCTCCAGAAGCTACCGCTGCTCCATCACCAGAGATGGAGATGGACAGAAGAGACTGGACAGCTGTTTATCCAGAATGGTATAGGATCTTGTGGGAAGAATTTATAAATTTTACAGTATAAACTGTGTTTAGAAATATTGTAGAGGGAATCTTATGTTAACTGACTCAGGTCTCCCCAAAGTTACTCATTTACAGCCTCCTAAAATCCTTTAAAATTATACAATCCTCAAAAATAATTCAACGCTTACTTCAATTTGCAAACACACACAAGCAAACACACAAAACTCAATTAACACAATGCAAAAGCAATTGTAACGCTCACCGTTCAAACCAAGAGACCCGACCGGCATCACTTGATCGAATCAAACCCCCTTCTCTGGGGTCTGCATGTACCCATGCTCCCTCAAGTGTCATCCTAGAATCAGCAACGCACACATTTCCACAACCGGGACAAGCTCCCCTGTCAAACAATATCCCTTGTACCTATTTTCTCTGCAAAGCAGAGCTCTTTGCTTTGGGGAATGAATATTTCTCCTTTCCTCACAGCTGTCTAGATGTCATTTTTATTTATTCTTGCACAACCCACAGCTCAAGTTGGAACATCAAATTATTCTTCGGATAGCCTCCTGCCTTAAGCAGGGAGTTGGACTAGAAAACCTCCAAGGTCCCTTCTAGCTTTAGGATTCTGTGTTCGAGGTTCGTTGACTTGTAATTAAAAAAAGAAACTTGAAATTCCTGCGAGTAAGGAAGACCCACTCAGACTCTCACCCTGCAACCATTCCAGCAATCCTGCATGTTGATCCAATAATTCCGATGGTTCCACAGACTCTCAATACCCAGGAAGTGATCATCAGCAGTGCTGTAGCTTTTCCCAGTGAAAGGATCAATGAAAAAACTTTCAGGCACTTCCCGCTTGCCAGAGAGAACGAGCACCCAGGCGTGGACACGGAGTCCCTGCAGACGGTCCACTATCGGCTTCTCTTCCAGCTGCAGCAGAGAGAGAGAGAGAGAGAGAGAAATGAACAGATTAACAGAGTAACAACCCCCCTCCCCAGCCCTAGTAGGAGACCCTACACCGTTTCTGACAGGTGGCAGTCCAGTCTCTTCTTGAAAGCCTCCAGTGATGAAGCTCCCACAACTTCCGAGGGCAACTTCTGTTCCATGGGTTGATAGTTCTCACTGTCAGAAAATTCCTCCTTATTTCCAGGTTGAGTCTCTCCTTATTCAGTTTCCATCCATTATTTCTTGTCTGGCTTTCAGGTGCTTTGGAAAATAGCTTGACCCCTTCCTCCTCTCTGGGGCAGCCCCTCAAATATTGGAAGACTGCTGTCATGTCTCCCCTGGTCCTTCTCTTCACTAGACTAGCCATGCCCGGTTCCTGCAACCGTTCATCATACGTTTTAGCCCCCAGTCCCTGATTATCCTGTTTGCTCTCTTCTCTGCACTCTTTCTAGAATCTCAATTTTTTTTTTACATTGTAGAGAGAGGGTGGATGGGAGGGAGAGGGGGGAGGGAAGGAAGGAAGGAGACGAGGGAGGGAGAGAGAAAGAGAATGGGTGGGGCAGATCTCCCAGAAAGTTCCAAGCAGTGAATTCATCCTTTCTTTAATGATACTAACCCACCATTTCTTTGATATTAGTGTAACTCTTGTCCCACAGTGAGTTGATCGTAGCAGGTTGGCCATAGTGAGTTGGCTGTGGTGAATTGTCATAGACCTGCATGATCCATGTCATCTTTAGTGGCCTGGATCGGTATTTTAAAATTAACTGGTCAAACTCTCATGGATTCCAGCAAAATCCCATGGAAATCCTGATATTTCACATGATCTTGCAAAATTATAAATTTCTCCAGTAAGAGATATCATAAAACCTTAGAAAATACTTTTAAAAAGCACCACAAATCTTTGGGCAAAGGTGTCCAAATGTTAAACTCCTTGAAGCTGGCTACGGTTGAGGTAGCAGCTCTACAGGAAGGTCTTACTAGTATTAATACGGGGTAAAGACAGAACCAAAGAAACTGAAAAAGGAATTTCCCAACCTTGTGGCTAGTGATGTCACCCAGGTATCTGGGGGATGGACTTCAAAAAAATTAGCAACTGATTCTTTGCCCGGTTGCTGAGTGGGTGTGACCATGGTGGGCGTGGCCTAGTCGGCCTCCTGCACCATGGTGGGGGGTGAGGCATTTTCATCCTCCCGGGCTCTGGAGGCTTTCCTTGAGCCTCCGGGAGGGAGGAAATGGCCTCCCCAGGCTCCAGAGGGCTCTGTAGACCAGAAATGGAGCCATTTCCATCCTTCCAGAACTTCCGGGAGGCCTGTTTTTTACCCTTCGCAGGCTCTGGAGGCTTTCCTTGAACCTCCGGGAAGGCAAAAATGGCCTCCCCAGGCTCCGGAGGCTCTCTGGAGGCCAGAAATGGAGCCCCATGAGGCTTGTTTTTTGCCCTTCCTCAGCCTTTGAGCGGACCCTGCATTTACTTGGGATCCAAAACAGGCAACATGGAGACTCCTGGGAGGGGAGGGGCGGATGGGGCCAGCCAGTTGTTGCAACTACCAGTTCAGTAAACCAGATGTAAAATCAACAACCGGTGCAAACTGGTAGCAGCCCATCCCTGCCAGATATATATCTCTGAATGATCTGCAACGCTTCCAACCACATTTCTCCAGGGCTGAGCTGTCACCTGTCTCTTGATCTCTGGATGCCTTCCTACCACACTCAAGTCAGCCAACCCAGACCCACAAGTCTCTTCTAAACTACGTACAGCTTTCTTCTCTTCTTCCTCCTTCTGTTTCTTCTCGTCTGCAGCCTGTTCTTTAGCCTGTTGCTTCTCTTCCTGGCGTAATTCATACTTGCTCCGCAGGTCACGTGGGGGCTTGATGGCATACTTCTTAGCCTTCTCCTTCTTTTCTTCAATTTGGACCTGGGGCCAAGAACAATCCCTCTTTTTAATCCAATCTTTGGAAATTATTTACCCTCACCCAAAAAGTCTGCTTATGGCCAAATACTTTTTAATTGCACAAAAGGAAGGATGTGGTATATTCTACTCTTGGTCATCTCAGGGACAGCAGAGGGATTGGCCAAAACTCTTGGACTTGGTCACTGAGTGTATTCTTTTTCTACATTTGTACAAGTAGTCTTTACTTAAGAACCTTTCATTTTCAATGTTACAATGGCCAGAGAATGGGTGCTTTAGAACCCATAAAACATGCCTAGCATGCTTGGATGGGCCAGCCCCCGACAGGCACATGACCATATATTAGGCAGGCTAGTTCACAATCCATGATGGTGTTCTGTGTTCATGTGACTGCAATTCACTAAATGTTTTGCTGACCCCTTCCCAACAAACCAATACCTGGAAAAGACAGAAGCTTCGGTGAGCTGCAAGGTTGAAATTACAAGGTTGAAATCAGGATTCGAACTCAGGGAGTCCACAACTTAAGACTGCAAGTGAACTCAAAATTTCCATTGCTAAGCAAGACAATTGTTGAGTTTCGCCCACTGTACAACCTTTCTTGCCACAGTTGTTAAGTTAATCACTGCAGTTGTTAAGTTAATAACATTGTTGTTAAGTGGACCTGGCTTTCCCATTGACTGTGCTTGTCAGAAGGTTGCAAAAAGAAAAGGTCAAGAGAGACTCTGAATAATTCAATTTTGAAGGAAAAGGAATTCATTAACAACATGGCGAAAGAACTGGCTTTCTTCTTCAAAGAAAATAAATCGGAGGCAACCTTATTACAAAATGTGTGGGATACTATGAAGGTGTATTTTTTATTTATTTATTTGTTTGTTTGTTTATTTATTTATTTATGTCAATTGCTTACAAGATAACAAGTATAAGTAAAAACATAGTTATGAATACATGAAATGGGTACATATAAGAAAAATAAGAAAGAAACAATAGGACAGGGATGGTAGGCACGATTGGTGCGCTTATGCACACCCCCTTCAGACCTCTTAGGAAAGGGGTGAGGTCAATAGTAGACAGTCTAAGGTTAAAGTTTTTGGGGTTTGGGGAAGAAACCACAGAGTCAGGTAGAGTATGCCAGACATTGACCACTCTGTTGCTAAAATCATATTTCCTGCAATCAAGTTTGGTGCGACTAACCTTGAGTTTGTATCTATTGTTTGCTCTTGTGTTGTTATGGTTGAAACTGAAGTATTCATTGACAGGTAGGACATTACAATGTATGATTTTATATACTATACTGTACTTAGATCAGACCGATATATATAAATATACCAGAGGTGTGACTATAACCTATACAAGAAGGAATATTTAAAAAAGAAAAAATGCAACAGATTTTAGAAGAAGACCATAAGAAACTGGAGAAGGAACTACAACGAAACCCACAGCATAAAAATCTTAAAAACCAAATGGATATAATTAAACATAAAATGGGATTAATGGAAAAAGAAGAAATGGCACAAAAAAATTAGGGGAGCTAAACAAAACTTTTTTGAAAATGCAAATAAGCCAAGACCCTGGGATGCTGCAACTGTCGTAAATCCACGTCAGTTGCCAAGCCTCTGAATTTTGATCACATGATCATGGAGATGTTGCAACGATTGTGTGAAAAGTGATCTTTTTTTCAGTGCTATTGTGACTTTGAACTGTCACTAAATGAACGGTTGTAAGTCAAGGACTACCTAAATTTAGCTCAATGTTTCTCAATCTTGGGAATTTTAAAATATGAGGACTTCAATTCCCAGAATTCCCTAGCAAGCTGTGCTGTTTTAGGAATTATATATCTTAAAATCCCCAGGTTGGAGAAATATTGTTTTAGCACTTCATGCATCAGACAAAATGAGCTCATACAAGTTTTTGCCTTTTAATAAAATGTGTTAGTCTGAAAAGAGGCTACTGGACTACTCCTGATTTGGAGGAGATTTAAAACTAAAGTACAAAGTCTGTCTTAACTGTCCACTCACTATTCTCTCTCTTTCTATCTTTGTAGCAACTTCAAATTATTTATTTTATTTTTGTTTGTTAGATTTTATTTATCCCACTTTGTTTTTTTCTGATTAGTAAGCCAAGGCAGTGAACCTACCTAATATTCCTTCTTCTGCTTATTTTTCCCACAACAACCCTGTGAGATGACTTGGGCTGAGAGAGAGGAATTGGCCCAGCTTTCATGCCTAAGATGGGGTAGAACTTACTGTCTCTTGGTAATTGGCCGAAAGTCACCCAGCCAACTTTCATGCCTAAGGCAGGATTAGAACTCACCATCTCCTGATGATCAGCCCAAAGTCACCCAGCTTGCTTTCACGCCTAAGACGGGACTAGAACTCACAATCTTCTAGTGATCGTCACCCAGCTGATTTTAATGCCTAAAGTGGGACTAGAACTCACTACCTCCTAATGATCGGCCCAAAGTCACCAGCCGGTTTCCATGCCTAAGGTGGGACTAGAACTCCCAGTCTCCTAGTGATTGGTCCAAAATCACCCAGGCAACTTTCATCCCGAAGGTGGGACTAGAACTCACTGTGTTCTGGTGATCGGCCCAACGATAATTGCCAGTGTACATTTGTGCTTAAGGCAGGACCAGAACTTACCATCTCCTGGTTTCTAGCGTGGCGCATTAACCAGTAGGCCAAACTGGCTCTGGATCCCACTCAAGTCCTGTTTCTCACCTCTTCTGGCTTCTGTAAGAGTGGGCACTCTTCCGTGGACTCGTCCATCATGCAAATGTCCTTGGTGGCATAGCCGTTCACGCAGTAGGCATCGTAGCCTGCCCCAATTAGCAGAGAGCATAAAAGGACACTAAAATCAAAGCAGTTTCCTCGCTGGTACCTCAAGATGGTTGTTGGTGAACATAAGTAACAGGGCTGGAGAGAGAAGACACACATCCTTGAGCCTGCTGTGATTTTTAAACTTTTCGCTGCAACTTCAATTCTCTGCATTTTTATTATCGATTACTGCTGATTTCACTGTGAACATTTTATAACTCCATGCTTCAATAACTATTTTGGTATACTGTTTCTACCCATAGTTTATTTTGTTCAGTAAAGACACAGCTTTGGTTCATGAGATGTACAACCAAAAATTAAACGAACAAGTATGCAGAATATATCAGTTCATAATGATTGACCGATTGATTATATGCCATGAATTCAGTGTCTATGGAGATTCTCAGTCCTCCTGCTCATGGTTGTCTCAAAGGTGCTTTTTTGAGATGCATCTGGACTTTCTTGATTTTTCTTTGAAGACGTTTCACTTTCTCATCCAAGAAGCTTCTTCAGTTCTGACTGAATGGTAGAAAACGAAAGAACCGAAGAAGCTCCTTGGATGAGAAGTAAAACATCTTCAAAGAAAAAACCAAGAAAGTCAAGTTGCTTCTTGAAAAAGCATCTTTGGGACATAAAGTCAGTGTCAACTTGTAGCAACCACCTAGGTGGACCTTCTCCAAGACAATGTCCTTAACCTGGTCTTTCAAATCTTCCAATGATGCAGCCATTGGCACTGTCTTTGTGATAGTATGTGTGAAGGATCTTGGACCGGGTGTTAGGAAACACGGAAAAGGGAGCCTGCTTTAGGCCATCTTTAGCACCACATCGACATGGCTTTGAGTCCTTCTTTGCATCAGCTCCCCCCACCATGGAGCCTTCAGATCACCCATGCAGGACCTATTTCTTACCGGTGCTAGTGGAGAAGGAAGAGGCTCCATGTTGAGGTAATCAGAAACAAAACGAGCGGCACTATCCCAGTTGTACAACTCTGAGTAAGGGAGCAGAGTTGGCCGAACCGTTGTGCTTACAAATTTCTGCAACACAAAAGCCAGTGGGTTACTTTTACAAACAAAGAAAAAATATAAATCAACCAATCAGGACTCTATGCTCATCAGAAATACAATCCCATGTCAACCGAGTTGAGATTTGAACTCAAAAAGCCAATTTGGTCTAGAGGTGAAGGCTAGAAATCAGGAGATGGTGACTTCAAGAGCTGCCTTAGGATGAAAGCCAGCTTGGGGATTTTGAGCCAATCACCAGGAGATAGTGAGTTCTAGTCCACCTTAGCCATGAAAGTTGGCTGGGGAACTTTGGGACAGTCACCAGGTGACGGTGAGTTCTAGTCCTTTCTTAAGCATGACAGTCAGCTGGGTGACTATGAACCAATCACCAGACTGGGAGTTCTAGTCCCACCTCAGGCACGAAATCCAGATGGGTGACTTTAAGCCAAGTCCTTCTCCCTCAGCCCAACCCACCTCACAGGGTTGTGGGGAATATAGAGCAAGAAGGAGTATTGTGTGTGTTCGCACCTAGAGTTATTTATAAAAATAATAAAGGTGTGATAAAGGACTTTTTTAAAACAAAATGTTGTAAAAGCTCTAGCATTTCCATATTAAGCATCAAAACGCATAAGCAAAACATTCACACAAAGCCTATGGCTCTTCATGGCTAAAAAAAATAAATTCTTTCAAAACACCAACCAAACCCTGAAAAAAAGGTTTGGTAAAATTAGTTGGGTTTCTTTTGAATCTTCAGTTTTTCAAAATGGATTGTATTAAACATTTATCATCTCACAGTCTGATCGCATGTTCTGCCATTTTAAAATAAAGATTTTTAAAAGTCTGTTTTAACTTGTTAATTTCCTGTGAGTTTCTAGATAAGAAAGCTCAGGGAAAATCTGTTTTGGTAGGTCGGTATAACATTCTACTGTAGCTACTCTGCACAAATAATTGAGCTTATTTAAAAAAACAACTCACGGCGTGTAAAAGTTATACTTTTAAAAACAGGTTTGCCAGCTGCTGTTTCCTGTTTGCTCGCTCTACGATGAGAAGATTTTGCAAATGACATGGACGAGTTCATCCCAGGAAGGAATATACAGATTGCATGCTTATCCTGATCAGATAATGCCAGAGAGGAACTTTGTGGTCAACTTTTACACTTATAATTGTGCAGCTGGAAGGTCACTCGCTTTGCCAACAGATAAGCAAATATAAAAGTTGTCCTTTCAAAGATTCAACAACATTCCACTTTAAAAAAAAAACACCATCGAAGAGAACTTTACAAATTAGAATGTGGAGGACAAGCAGAGACCGATTGCGGTATTTATTATAAACACACTATTTTTTGTCCCCCTTGCAATTTCCCGGGAAAACCACCTTAGAGAATTCCTGGAAACCCAGTTCTTGGATTTGCTTCATAAAAATCCTCTGCATTTTTAACAAGACGGCTGTGGAAGTTTGTTCTCTTCTATTTTGTTAAAAGCTGATTGAGCAGCAAAAAAAAAAGGATGTCACAGAGAGATGGGGAAGTAACCAGAGTTGGGGTTCAGTCAGAGAACCAGCAAATACCACCTCTGGCTGGCCCCGCCCACACGCCCCTGCCTTTACCTCTCCTGTATTCCCTTGCTTTTTTAGCTCAGCTGCAGAGTGGATTTCCGTGCCTCAGCTGAGCTAAAAAACAGCACAGCTTACCAGCGTTGACAGTGGTTGGTCTTTGAGTCCTCCACATGTGTGCAAAGCTTGCGTGCATAGAACCGTGCGTAGAAGAGAACAGGATAGAATAGAATAGAATAGAAATTAGAATAGAAATTAAAATAGAATAAATAGAATTTAGAACAGAATACAGGAATATAGGAATTAAAATAGAATAGAAATTAGAATAGAATAGAATAGAATAGAATAGAATAGAATAGAATAGAATAGAAATCAGAATAGCATAGAACAGAACAGAATAGAATAGAATAGATTGGCCAAGTGTGATTGGAGTCACATGGAATTTGTCTTGGTGCAAATAACTCTCAGTGTACATAAAAAGAAAAGATACATTCGTCAAGAGTCAAGAATCATCAGGTACAACACTTAATAATAGTCATAGGGTACAATAGAATAGAAGGATATAGGAATAGAATTTAAATAGAATGGGATGGGGATGGAACGGGATAGAGAATAGAATAGAAAATAGAATAGAATAGAATAGAATAGAATAGAATAGAATAGAATAGAATAGAATGCAGAATAGGAATAGGATAGGACAGGACAGGATAGGATAGGATAGGATAGAATTCTTTATTGGCCAAGTGTGATTGGACACACAAGGAATTTGTCTTGGTGCAAATAACTCAGTGTACATAAAAAGAAAAGATACATTCGTCAAGAGTCAAGAATCATCAGGTCCAACACTTAATGAGAGTCATAGGGTACAATAAGCAATCAAATAATACTAGGAAGCAGTCAATATAAATCGTAAGGATACAAGTGACAAAGCTATGGTTATACAATCATACAAGTGGGAGGGGATGGGTGATAGGGAGCAATGAGAAGATTAATAGTTATAGTAGTGCAGGCTTTGTAAATAGTTGGACAGTGTTGAGGGAAATATTTGTTTAGCAGAGTGATGGAACCCATAGGAAACAATTTGGAAACCCATCACTGGAAGTAACAGCTTTGAAAATAGCTGAATTGTGGGTACTGGATGGTGGTTTCCCTCAAAATGGGTGTGCCTTCCGTATTTCCCAAATATAATTCTGGTGTCACCTCTAATTGGTCTCTAAGAAAATGAGTGATAAGGACAAATTATGGACAGAAAAGAAAGAAGCTACTCAGGCTTTATAGATTCTTGGAACCTCCTTTCTAGAACTCTTTGTCTGACTTACTTCCATGCCACATTCATTGATTGGGTGAAGGAAGAGGGGTACACGGTCCGGGCAAAGGTGTGCGTACTGCCGATGGAAATTATCCGCCACCTGTAGAAGCAGCTGCTCCTTGGGTGTGTTGCTTTTGTAGGACTCCGGCAAGTGGGCCGTGACAATCTTGCTCCAATCAAATTCACTATATGCAGGGAAGACAAAGAAGGGAATAAAACAATTGTCCTCCACTTACAACAGTTCATTTAGGGATCGTTCAAAGTTACAACTTCACTGAAAAAAGCCCACTTATGACCGTTCTTCACACTTACAACTATTGCAGCATCCCTAGTCACATGATCCAAATTCAGATGCTTGGCAACTGACTCATATTTATGACCGTTTCAATATCCCTTTTATGACCTTCTGACAAGCAAAGTGCATGGGAAAGCCAGATTCACTTAACAACCATGTTACTAACTCAACAACAGCAATGATTCACTTATCCACACTGTGACTAGACAGGTCATAAAATGGGGCAAAATGCACTTAACAACATACATTTTGGGGGCTCATGTGTGGTCATATGTCAAGGACTAGCTGTACTGATAGGTAGCAATTTGCCAAGATTTCAGGGAGTCACTTCCTGATAGGAGACCAAAAGTGACGCCTGTTTTATTTATTTTTTTAAGCTAGAAACAGAACTCTCTCTGACCATCTACAGTTCAAGGTGCTGTGCTATTCCATCATAGAATAGAATAGAAATTAGAATAGAATAGAATAGAATAGAATAGAATAGAATAGAATAGAATAGAATAGAATAGAATAGAATAGAATAGAATTCTTTATTGGCCAAGTGTGATTGGACACACAAGGAATTTGTCACGGTGCAAATGCTCTCAATATACATAAAAGAACAGATACATTCATCAAGAATCATCAGGTACAACGCTTAATAAGAATCACAGGGTACAATAAGCAATCAAATCATACTAGGAAACAGTCCATATAAATCGTAAGGATACAAGCGACAAGTTACAGTCCTACAGTCACAAGTGGGAGGTGATGGGTGATAAGGAGTGATGAGAAGATTAATAGTAATAGTAGTGCAGACTTTGTAAATAGTTGGACAGTGTTGAGGGAATTATTTGTTTAGCAGAGTGATGGCGTTCGGGGGAAAAACTGTCCTTGTGTCTAGTTATTCTGGTGTGCAGGGCTCTGTAGTGTCGTTTTGAGGGAAGGAAGTGAAACAGTTTATGTCCAGGATGTGAGGGGTCTGTAGATATTTCCACAGTCCTCCTTTTGACTCATATAGTATACAGGTCCTCTATGGAAGGTAGATTGCTTTTTCTGCATTCTAATTACTTTCTGAAGTCTGTGTCTGTCCTGTTGGGTTGCAGAACCAAACCAGACAGTTACAGGGGTGCAGATGACAGACTCAATCATTCCTCTGTAGAACTTACAGATTCAAATTAACAGAGTTGGAAGGGACCTTGTAGGTCATCTAGTCCAACCCCCATCTGTATCAGCAGCTCCTTAGGCAGTTTGAGCTTTCTGAGTTGGCACAGAAAGAACATTCTTTGTTGTCCTTTTTTTGATGATGTTTATGATGTTAGGTGTCCATTTTAGGTCATGTGATATAGTAGAACCCAGAAATTTGAAGGTCTCTACTGTTGATACTGTGCTGTCTAGCATTGTAAAAGGTGGTAGTGTGGGAGGGTTTCTTCTAAAGGCTACCATCATTTCTACGGTTTTGAGTGTGTTCAGTTCCAGATTGTTCCGGTTATACCACGGGGCAAGTTGTATAACCTCCTGTCCATGGTGCAATTCCACTGTAGTTTAAAACAGTATACAATTAGAAGATTGGGAAAGATTATGAATGAAAAATTATACATTAACGCTGACAGTTTCATATAAAGAAAGTTTGTGCAAAATGTTTTATCGTTGGCATCAAGCACCGGTGAGATTGGCTAAAATCTATCCAAATTTAAAACTGGAATGTTGGAAATGTAAAAAGACACCAGGGACCTTCTTTCACATGTGATGGACCTGCCCAAAAGCGAAGGAATTTTGGAATAAGGTAAAGATCTGGTTACAGGAAATAACAAGCTTAAAGATAGTGCCCAAACCTGAAACAGTCGTATTAGGGATAACTAAAGGTGAATATACAAAAGATATTAATGATACATATTATATTAACAGAGGCTAGGATATTACATGCTCAAAATTGGAAATTAGATAGTACCCCCACAGATGACATGATTATAAAGAAAGTAATGGATTGCGCAGAAATGAAGAAATTTACAATGGAATTGCAGGAGAGGAAAGAAAAAGAATACTATACAGTTTGGGAGAAATGAGATGTCTGGTTAGACAACAGAAAGAAAAGAGAATGTAAATATAAAACTGTTAAAGTGTAATTGTAAATAGTGTGTGTGTGTGTGTTTGTGTGTATAGGAGAAGGGAATAAAACAACTGCAAAAAATGTATGTAGAATTTGTTTTTAAACTTGAAAATTCAATAAATTTATTTTTTTTAAAAAACAGTTTTTTTAAAAAAGTTCCTACAGCATAAGAACAGAGAACTTCATCGAAGGGCTTTTCCTGTTCTATCACGTTAAAACAATCTTTACCCAACCTTGAGTCAGCAGAAAACAGCTGGCCTGAGATAGGGTTCCTCTTGGACCCATCGCTGTCCTGCTTCGGTTGCTTCTGTTCCCATGTAGCCCTGACTTCCAAAATAAATGGTGATAACACTTCAAGAGATTTCACACCCCTTGAGGCTGCCAGGAATTGAGGTCAGAAGAAAAGGGAAAAGCGATTTAGCACAATTCCCAGGCTCTCACTTATGGGAAAAAGAAGATGTTACCAGGACATACTTCTGCCATGGTTCAGTACACATGAGCAAGACTGCTGAATCCCTGGGCAAGTTTAAATTCCAAATTTCGAGAAGAATGGCGTGTCCAAAAAATTTGGAGACGGCACCATTTTTCTATGGGCCACAACGCTGCTCCGAATTTGGAAAAATTAACATTTACATCTACTTTGATGCTGGCTTTGGATGTGTTAGATTCTAAAAGGGGTTCCTAACCTTTTCCATATCCCTCCCCTCCCAAGAATGCTTCTGATATATTCTCACACGCTTTGCAAAAGTAGATAATTATATGCATAAAATTATGCATATACATTATAATTTTAAAACTTCTAAACCCAAGTTTTCCCACCTCCCTCCCGGAATATGGTCTCACATTCCCAAGGGATACAAGCAGCCCTGGTTGGGAACACCTGTGTTAGAATAAGGCAGAAAGTGTTATTTTAACACCAATGTAATTAAAGCTGCCTTGTAGATGGGTTGGGGATGAAGAAATCTCATGGACATTTGGCAGGAAAAAATATCTCCAAATGTATGTTTGTACCATGGGGAGCTTTAGGTGACAAAGAACTAAATATATGTAATTTTAGTTACAAGATCAGTCCAGAAAACTGGGTATTTATAGGGGTACCTTGAACTCATTATTAATTGGTTCTGGGAGGCACAAGAAGTACCAAAAAGGATGGGTATCAAATGAATTTTCCCCAAAAGGAATAGAATAGAATAGAATAGAATGGAATGGAATGGAATCAAATTGAATCGAATCGAATCGAATCGAATCGAATCGAATGGAATGGAATAGGAATGGGATGGGATGGGATCCAATAGAATAGAATAGAATAGAATAGAATAGAATAGAATAGAATAGTTGGAAGGGACCTTGGAGGTCTTCTAGTCCAACCCCCTGCTTAGGCAGGAAACCTTACACCACTTCAGACAAATCTCTTCTTAAAAACATCCAGTGTTGGAGCATTTACAACTTCTGGAGGCAAGTTGTTCCACTGATCAGTTGTTCTCACTGTCAGGAAATTTCTCCTTAGTTCTAAGTTGCTTCTCTGCTTGATTACTTTCCACCCATTGCTTCTTGTCCTGCCCTTGGGTGCTTTGGAGAATAGCTTGACTCCCTCTTCTTTGGGGCAGCCCCTGAGATACTGGAACACTGCTATCATGTCTCCCCCAGTCCTTCTATTCATCAGACCAGACATACCCAATTCCTGCAATCATTCTACATATACTTTAGCCCCCAGCCCCCTAATCATCCTTGTTGCTCTTCTCTGCAATGTCTTTTGCTCTGCAATATAGTGTGTCGCAAGGCAGCCTGCACCATGAAGTTCTGCCTTGTGCATTGAATACCAAACAAACGAAAAGTATGGGGACAACATTTTCATGTCAAAATGCGCTGAGTCCCAAATTCGATGAGTTTCTAAGCATTTGAGTACCGAGGTACCACTGTAACAACTTTGACTTCTGGGTATTGCATTAAGTAGAAATTTGCATGGACATGGTTTTATTCTTGTCTGCAGTACAGCATTTTTTTGCCAGGCTATGTCATATCCCTAGACAAGTTCTGAACTCAGAATTAAATGTCCGGGGAGTTTATATTTATTGCTATATTGTGGGCAAAACCTGGAAAGATACAAAGGATTTGATCCTAGAGAAAATATTGTAACCAGAGCTAATTTTCTTAGTACACTTTCTGATGGCTAAAATTTCTGAGACACATCGCATCATAAATTAACTCCTGGACTGGTTATTTGGCTAATAAACAAGGCTAAAATATGGCTAACTACAGGTGGTCTTTGCCTTACACTGGTTCCCTCAGTGACTGTCCAAAGTTACAACAGAACTGGAAAAAAAAGCAACTAATGAGCATTTTTCACAATAACAACTATTGTAGCATCCCCATGGTCATGTGATCAAAATTCAAGTCCCTGGCAACTGGTTCATAGTTATGACAGTTGCAGCATCCAGGGGTCACATGATCCCCTTTTGCGTCCTTCTTATAAGCAAAGTCAAGGAGGAAAAGCCAGATTCATTTAACAACTGTGTTATTAACTTAACAAGAGCAGTTATTCACTTAACAACTGTGGCAAGAGAGGTCATAAAATGGGGCTAATTCACTTAACAAATGTTTTGCTTAGCAACAGAAATGTTAGGATAAGTTATGGTTGTAAGTCAAGTTAATTTGCCGAGATAGTTTTTTTAAAAAAATGAGTGAGACAGGAGATAATTGCACCCATCTTTAATTTGAATAGATATCTGTGTTAACCAAGATCAACCATTTAGCATATTTTCAATTACATTAATAAATTTCAATGTGGATTTTCACAATGGGCTAATAAATTTCATTGTAGATTTTCCAGCATACTATAACATGGATTTTCACAACGTGCTAATACATTTCAAATAGATTTTCATGCTGTGCTAATCAATTTCAATGTGCATTCTCACAATGGGCTAATCAATTTCACAGTGTGAAATTTCAGGCCATTTAGTAGGCTTCGGGGACAACAACCTCTTGTGAGAACCCAGAAAGTGGGTCAATACAGTAATTAACTTTCATGCCCTAAAGGAAGTTAGATATTGCTTACCATACACCTTTAGGAACATGGACTTTGATCCGTGACAGCTGCTTCTCCAGGTCTTGGACTTCAGCAGCGAGCTTTGAAGAGCTTCGCAATTCTTTCTCACCTCCCATTTGGGGAGATCCGGATTTTTCCTCTTGGACCTCCATCTTGCTGCTTGCAACAGTACAGATTGTCTGAAAAAAACTGAGTTACAAAGTCAAAGAAGAGCCACGGTGGCGCAGTAGTTAGAGTGCAGTACTGCAGGCTACTTCGGCTGACTGATGGCTGACTGCAATTTGGCAGTTCAAACCTCCCCAGATAAGAATAGAACAGAACAGAACAGAACAGAACAGAACAGAACAGAACAGAATAGAATAGAGATGAGGAGGAGGAGGAGGAGGAGGAGGGAGGGAGGAAGGAAGGAAAGTAGAATAGAATAGAATAGAATAGAATAGAATAGAATAGAATAGAATA